GAATAGGAAATTATCTCCACATAAAGGCCTCAGGACCAGAAAGAGAGCAAGTAAAGCCTATGCCTTCCCAACAAACATACTCCACCTAGGGTTGCATACAGCAGGGCACTTGAATTTACAGCAAAACCTCCAACTGTGGAGAGCCCAGCTCGTCTCTAACTTTGACCATCGAGGCTCCGAGCTCCCTGCCTGTAAACACTCTGTCCACTCACCTGTACAGTCCTGGTAGGAGACCCTGCATTAACGAGGCTCTTCCTGAAGAGCATTTTGGTATTGGGAAACTTTCAAGGAAACCTGGTTTAGTTAATCTAACACTGGGTTTATAAATAAGTGTGCACAGTTAAGGATCAAAACGGCATACAAATCAGAGAGCTAAGAGGAGTGAGAAGATGAAAGGAAACAAGTCAAAGTCAACAACAACAAAAAATGACGTGGGGGATAAAAAGACTAACAAATTTCCATTCATCAACACCCATAGACGGTCTGAGGCACACGAGTCCTCCAACTATTTGCAGCTGGCAAGGAAAATGTTTTCTGATTTCTATTACTGATTTAGAGCACTCTGATGGTGGTCCACGAGAGGCTGCCAGAGGCAGTACCTATGGGGTCTGGATCCACCAGCAGCTTTCCCAGAGAGAGACGGACAATCTCCTCCCATGCAATGTATGGTCCCCCAAAAACCTGCTGGAAGATCAGCTCTGAGTTGGTTCCTACTCAATCACTGGGGGACTGAGAGATTACAGACCTACCAGCCCCTCTTCAAAAAAATTCTACCCAGATTGCTATGAAATGAACCTTCATTTTGTAATTAGTCTTTGGAGAAGTACGGGTAGAAATCCTTAGAGGCAACGATGGTGAGATGATGTGTCTCATACTTCGGCCACGTTATCAGGAGGGGCCAGACCTGGACAAGGACATTCTTGGAAAAGTAGTAGGTCAATGAAAAAAGAGGAAGGCCCTCAACCAGAAAAGCCGGCATAGCCAACAACGGGCGCACTGACTGCAACCAGGGCTGACGCACAGCAGAGACTGTGAGGAGGGCACAGGGCTGTACACACACACACACACACACACACACACACACACACACACACACGCGCGCGCCCGTACAGAGAGACAGGCCTGTGCACAGCTAGGGTCAAACACAGACACAGACAGGGCCGTGTACACACTGACCAGGCCAGACAGACAAGGCCAGGAGAGTGGGAGCTGACTCCAAACGCCTAACAACATGAGAGATATGTGCTCTGAGACGTGGCAGGAACTCCAACAGGTCTTAGCCCAACAGACCCTGAGCAAACCATCAGTTTTCCATCTTAATTTGCTGACACGTTGTTGTTACATGTTGAGTTGGAGCTGACCCCAGTGGACGTACAGGCTGGAAGCCACACAGATGGAGACTGCCCATTTCCTCCCTCAGAGCATCTGGGAGATTTGAACTGCCTTCTTTCAGTTGGCAGGATAACTCCTTACGCCCTAGGCCACCAGAGCACTCTTCAAGTATGTTAAATGAGGACGTCCGTTTTTGTGTAATCTTAGTAAAAACAACTTATTGAACAACCATAAGATAAAAAAGTAAACTTAATTTCTTTTGTAAAGTATTAAGCACTGTACAAATGTAAGGTCACGCTGTTAACGAAGCTAGGCTGACAATGGTGAGTGGACAGACTCCAGGCTTGGCTGAAAAGTTGCAATGGGATCATTCACAGGATGGCAGGCAGTCATACGTCCAGGATACTTCCCAGGCTGTTAAGTTCATAACCAGCAGTTTGGTGAATTTTGGTCGTTAAGAATGGTACCATTTAAAAACCCACCAATACAACAATGGTGTCACACATCCCCTTTGCAAAGGAATCTATGGATGGGAAAGCGCCTGTATTTGCCAACTTATTCAAAAGAACATTCAAGGACGTCCATGAAGTTGGGAATAAAGGCCGCTGAATAAACCATGCTGGACTCGGACTGTTAAATACAGGAAACACTGTGAGCTGGTTAGTCACCAGAGGCCACTGCTCACCAGGACTGCCACAGAGGCGGTGTGACAACCAGCACGTGTCACAGACAGGGGCCCCCGCCGGCTGAACAGAACAGCCCTTGACAAGCAGGTGGAGCCGTGTGTTAACTATACACTATGTCTATTAAACAACCACTGCATTCAGTAGGCTTCTGCCTGGCTAAGCTACTGTCAGGGCTAACACAACCAGAGCAGACGCCGGTACAAGACAGATTGTGAATGGTTGTGTTGAAACATGAACACGTACATTAAATGGCATGCCTACATATCATGATGAAACAAACAAACAGAAAAGAGATATTTTCCACAGCTTCCAGTGTGGGTATCAACAGAGCTCTTTTTATATCTTATTAAACATTCTGCTAAAATTTGTTTTATATTAAAGATGTAGGCGCTTTAGCAACTAGCTAGCTAGATCGTGCTTTGATTCTGACTCAAATCTACAATAAAAACTAAATTTATGAAACTGGGAAAATTTGAGTATTTATGAAATATCTGATGTTATACTGAGATAATGGTGTTGGGTTATTAGAATTAAAAAAGCAAAGCAAGATGTGATGCTCTTTTACAAATACATATTTAAGTGATTAAATACATATATACACACACTCTATATATGTGTATATACACACACTAGTTTATTTACAAAATTCGAACACACTGTTTTCGAGAACAGGTGATTTTTAACAATGAAAGCTGTAATGTCTACGGCTGGCATTAAACTCACGTGTGGAAGTAGGTGCGGGTGCAGCTGAAAGTCTGGCCCTGGAATGAAGCTGGATTGTAGCGGTAGTGATAGTGTTTTTTCTTCTTTTACTCAAAACCAACCAAACCCACTGCTATCGAGATGATTCCTACTCCCGGCTGCCCTCAACTGGGTCTCTACAGGAGGAGACCGCCTGGCTTTCTCCCACGGAGTGGCTGGTGGGTTTGAGCTGCTGACCTCCCCAGTTGGTAGTTCAACTCATAATACACCCCCAGGGCTCCTTCTCCTTTCACATATATTTGCTAATTTACATAATAAAATACAGGAGCTCAGGTGGCCTAGTGGCAAGAAGCTGCACTGCAATCCCAGAAGTATGCGGTTCGAATCCACCTGATACTCTGTTGGAGAAGGAGGGGCAATCACCTCCTATACCAGTCAGATCTGATTTGATGGAAAACACACACAAAATTGGAAAAATATCTGCAAAAGACTCAAGCAAGA